CACGCATCAGGAAAATGATTCAGAAAACAGCTGTTCCACAAAGCCTACGGAAAACACTCTTCCAGAGTCATTACTCTGCTTTGGAAGGAGTCTCTTCTGGAAGAAGAAACAGCTAATGGAGACCCTGACACTTGTGGCTGCTGATTAAAGAAAAACACAGATAGAGCTACCACCATCCCTTGCCACCAGCGCCAGGGCCTCTACAAAGAGCCTGCTCTCCTCCAAATAAACAGTCCAGTTCATTTGCTCACTGACGCCTCAGTCATTAAATTTTCAGGCTAGGCTATTCTAATCAATGATCAAAAAACTGTCAGCCATCTAATTTAAGACATTCACTGCGTCCTTACTCCAGTACAATCTTCATGCAGGCGAGCTTTAGCATGTTCTTTGGGAAAGTTTCCCAATTTTAGTCTAGTTGCCACTGCACAAGGCAAATAGCTTAAAGCCTTTCTAATTGGGTTTTCACAGATTGGTTTTCCAAAATGAGAGCACGATTTTGCTAATCGATCTTCTGGTAGAAACCTCCAGCCTGACCCCTGGACTAACGTGTACAGGGTGTGCACACAGACCCATCCCAGGCAAACAGAACTAAATCCCAGATGTTTCTTTACAGGACTGGATATCGCTACCTAAATGACACATATGGGATGCTGTCCAGAAAAAGGGCAAACTAAACTTTTCCGCAACTAAGTTCTCCTTCCTCATTATACTCAGTAAAAGGAAGACATGTTTAAGAATAAATACGATACAAATGTTATCTTTCAAAGAGCCAGAAGAGGAAAGCTACAGCTAATTCCAGTAACTACTTCGCATCACCCCTGAGGTCTCCCCAGGAGCAATATTAATTAATGGGACCCTCAAAAAAAAAAGGGTAAGGATGTAGCTATAATCTCCTTATTTGTAACAACATCATCTAAGTAGGTCCTTCTGCCACCTGCCACATGAAAATGCGTTCGGTCACACTGCAATTGCAGCACTTGCTTGGAGAAGTGTCGTGGTTT